GGAGAGGGAGGTCTGGGCCTCCCTTCTGAAGCTGCTGCTCCCGCGACCCGACCCCGGATAGGCGGAAGAAAATGGATGGATGGATGGAGCACCAGGTATTATTAAATAACCTTTTGGATTTTAACATTTAGAAAAAGGACAGGTAACTATCTGAAAGTACTGACTTAACTGATTTTCCAGTATGTTTCCCATTTGTAATCCTAACTTTTAGTTAACTCCCAATTTGCCAAAAATAAAAAATAAAAAAACAGCTCTGATTCATTGAGGAATGGACTCCACTAAACTTCTGAGGTCCCTTCTGATAAAGGACGAATCGGACATGTTTGTTCGGTCTATTGTTATATGTTCAGCACTTTCCAAAAATATTCAATGAAACCGGCATCTAGAAAATGTCAAAGCCAAGTCTTTGTGTCTTCATCTGCTAAAGGGAAGGTAACATCTCCAAGAACAGCACAGGAAGTGTCACCCTGCCAGCTTTCTTTCTACTACAGCTTGCACACCTGGGAGACCAGCCAAACAGATAATGTAACAGAAAACATTAAATAATTAGAACCTTCTTCTACTGCTCAATGGTCCAGTGTTAATGTTGTTGTGCTCACTGTTAGCACTTTAGCGATAAAAACAAAGTAGAACTAAAGGCTTGTAAACACATAACATGTCATTCACTTTGCATTTAGATGTACAAGTTGACCTTTATTTTACCTGTAATGTGAAATTTATATTAAACACAAATACAAGAAGTAGAGTAATATCAGGGGGAAATACCTTTAGTTGGAATGGGTTTGTAAACCTCCAGATAATGTTCTCCATGCAGAATCTGGCCCAAAAAAAAAAAGACAACAGCTATGATAAATATACACTCGCAACAAAATCTTACAGCCTCATTAGCATGAGTAATGAGAGTACTGTTAGGCCCTACATACACAAGAACAACCTCTTGATACATCTGTGTTTTTTCTATGTTTATTGTGGCTAATCAAAAAGGGAAAAAAAAAATCTGTTGTTTCTATGGCAGATAGGGAAACCAAGAAATGGTGAACCATCGTATCATCGCTTTAAATTTTTTGTATATTAAACCAAAGCATCATATGTGTTGAGYGCAAATGATACTGAAATTGGAATTTTCATTGGTTGTCAGTTATAATCATCAAAATTAAAAGAAATGCACATTTGAAATACATCAGTCTGTATGTAATGAATAAATATGATATACAGGTTTCACTTTTTGAATGGAATAACTGAAATAAAATTAACATTTTCATGATATTCTAGTTTTATGACCAGCACCAATAAACATGTAAATTCTCTAACCTGTGAGTAGTCTATATCCATTCCAGGGATTGAGATCAGATCTACACCTGTTATGAGTGAAAGTGTAGGAATGACCCCGAATGTTGGGAAGCAGCTGAAGTCTGGATGGCCTTCATACAGGAACCTACATTAGTACGAGAGCGTTGGTGAACTGTTTAAAAAATTGCACACAAACAAACGAAGCAAAGCACCGAAGAAAAAATAAATCAATAGCAGCACAGATGGACACACAGGCGTGAGTCAGTGTTTGTTCTCCTTGTAGGTCAATGTAATAAGTAATGAATAAAGCAGTGTTTTCATTAAAATTCACACAAGTTGCCAACTAATAACATGTTAATATACCCACTTAAGATTATCTAGGTCTTTGGTGGACATGCCGATCCCCAGAGCGTAGAGAATACACTGGATGTGGTCGTAACTGAACACAGCTGGTGCATTTTGTTGTCCCACAGCCGAAGCCTGAAAGAAAAAAAAAGGGGAGAAAGATGGGAATAAAAAGTTTTGTTTTCAGTAGGGCTGCAACTAACGATTATTTTAATAATCGATTAATCTGTTGATTATTTTTTTCGATTAATCGGCCAAATCATGAAAACACTTAATTACACGAATATGAGTAGATATAGACTAAGTTAACTCCTTAAGGATGCAAGTTATTGATAATGAATTAATCTGAAGTTGATTTATCTTATAGATTGATTAACAA